TACCGTGGATTATCTCGATAAAAGATAAACTTCGTGGACGTTAAAACTACGCGGGGGAAAAATTCGGGATCACCGTCGCGTGGATATCCGTCGCGCGGTGATAAAAGAAAGGAGGAGTCTCTCCGCCATCCCGGTGAGTAGAAAACGCGACAGTATGCACTCCGATGCACCTGCAGCTGCGTGTGACACTTACGTTCACATATTTTATAAAACTTTTTTTCTCCCCTTGTACCTACTCTCCACAATAGAAATCCCCTTTATATTATACACATATCCATTTATACATACACATAAGAACCTTTGCTTCGTGTATCATACCGTACAAACGAAAATACCTAGTCCAGATTAGAGACCCTATAATCAAAGTCTGAACACGAGCCGTTTTATATGTGGGGCTTTAGTTTTAGCAAAATCACACAGAGAAAGAAGGACATATATTTACTATAGTTTCAGCAAAATCACACAGAAAGGACATACATTTACTTCATTATTTCTTTCTCTTTCTGTTCTCTCTCTCTCTCTCTCTCTCTCTCTCTCTCTCTCTCTCTCGGGAGTTGCTAAAACATGGCAAATCAATCAAAAGTAGTTGTTTCATATCTTGACTTATATAACGTTTTTAATTGGCAGAACTAGTGCGCACTCAGTGCACGTTAAACCTGCTGTACATTATTCTAATCTAAATGTATAAAAGTGAGATATCTCAATTGATAAAATGCCCAATGTGTATTTTAGCACAATATAATGCACAATAAAATGCATTGAATATTTCGCGGTTTAATTCGTTTCTATATTTTTGTTAAACGTATATTTTATATCGATTTGTATACAACGGCTTTAAAATGTACTGAGTGCGCATTAGTTCTGTCGATGAAAAGCACTATCCCAAAAAACAATGTCAAAATAACATTAAAAGTAAATCGTACCTAACTGATTCTTTAGTTACGGTTTATTTCAAGAAAAGTAACTTTTAGAAATCATTTTGAAGCCATTTTGACATTATTTTGATGTTATAATAATTTGGGCTAGCTTGTGTTCTGGTTGGAATAGCTACCTCTTGCTCTTGTCTAGGCTACCGGTATTTTCGTTTTGTATGCGGTGTAATACACAAAGCAAAGGTTGTTAAGGACTAGAGATCCTCAAGCTCAAGTAAGACCCTCAAGAGTCTGATCATAAGATAAACATGGTGACGATATTTGATTCTGCATTGCAGAGTATAATAAATTATGTAAGATTCACGTTGTCCATTCTATGCACTCTGCAATACAAGGAAAGAACAATTTCGCTGAAATACTTAATTAGATACAGATTCAAAAATAATTTGATTAAACTATCAAAATAATTTTGTAGAAATTACTCAAGCATGATGAGTAATGGTGCACAAAGTTTTTATACCCTAGCGATCAGTTTGAGCGTCCTACATAATTATTATCATGATCTGACACAATTATTTTTAGATTTGTATCCAGCTAAAATTTCAGCTATTTCAGTAAAACCATTCTTTCTGTGTAGTCATTGCCACCATATTTGTCTCACGAAAAAATTATTGCGTGACCAGATTCTTACTTGAAAGTCTGTAATTATGACGGAAATGCGACGAAATCAGAATATTTTCTTCCCGCTAACTTCGGAATTAGTGCCGGGAATTTGAATCGTGGCGCATAGCTTATCCTCTACGATGGGACGGTGGAATTGTCGCAAGCACAAGAGGGAAAGCCGGAAAATCGTTTAAGAGTAAATGACGTTTTATTAATGGCCCCCTCGGGTCCCTTCACCGTCGCCTATAACGTCGTGCCGTTAATTCTCTCACAAGAGGGACGAGTTTAGCGCACGGCACGTCTGAAAGTTTCAGTGTTTCAAAAGCGACACAAAAGCGGAATGTCCAAGCGAGAGAAGATGGAGAAAAAGTGAGAGAGAGTAGAACGTACTGATAAAAAATGAATAATCGGCTCGCGCGAGAATGATCAGCTGCCGCGCTTTTTGTCGATTCTGCGACAGTTTGTCGTGTGTAAAGTTTATCGGCATAACCCAACGGTCGGGAGATGCATAGTTCCGAAGCCGATCAACGTTAACGTTGAACCCAGTCAGGTCGATGCACCATGAAAAGCGTGGGACTTTCCATCGGTGACACAACCCTTCGCTTTGCCTGAAGGTAAAGCGAAGGGCCATAAAAGGTGAGCGGACAACCGATCAGTTTTCGTCTGCTTCGATCGGCAACCAGGTAATCCTACGGCGTTGTTTGACCTCATAGAAAAGAAGCTACTATTATTATTTATCTGGCGTACTGTAGTTGCTGCTTTAAATAACAATACAGCGATATTTAAATATATATCGGCATTGACATAAATAATTTTATTTCACCTATATGATAGATGAGAAAAGAAAGAGTAAATGGATTCTGGATATTAAAAATATTTGTAACAAAATCAGTAAATGAGAATCAAGCACTATATTCGTGCGCAAAGTCATATATGGTACACTTAAGGGGATGCTGGAGTGTCCTGTTTTACCATTAATTTTTAAATACTCTTTTCTCTTAATTGTAGATTGAGAAGTTCTTCTCCACAATTAAAGTATCGACAACAACACACAGGCTGCCAGCTACAATTTACTATGAAAAATAAAAGAAAATTAAAACACAGAAAACTTTGAAGAACAATCCTATGCTTTTAGAAACAAGATAGGGGCTTTAATATAAGAGAAAAGAGTCGTCAAAAATTTCGTTCGTATGCCATGAATAAAATTGACGTGAAGCCATGAAACCGAGCAGTATTTTAATTGATCTCTTTCTAAGAGATGGCGTTGCAATATGTTAGATAAGGACAGATGAATGCGTTTGAGCGAGACACAATGATATATAATAAGTATATATAAGAAATAAATGAAAGATGTCACTATTATCAAATTTGGAATTTAAAAAAGTCTGTACTATCGACCTTAATTAAATTTGACCGTCACTCCAGCATCCCAATCTCGAATATTGCGGCTACAATTCGTGTCATTCTCAACGTATAATTATTTCTATGCTTCCACGTATCAATTAAAGCCAAGTCGTCACTCTGGCGCCATTCTTAATAATTCGTAATAATTACAAATTACGGTGGGTTATTATATATTAAAAATGGCATCTAAAGTGACTTGATTCTGATCCGAGAACAGGAAGCTATAATGATTATTCGCTGAGGATGGCGAATTATAGCCGAAACGTTCGAGATTTTAATTTAAATATTAAATATATATATGAATCTTGTGCACAAATTACAGCACCTGATATTCATTTGCCGATTTTGTTGTTAAACTATATTTTGCATATTCTTGTACATTTATTTCTTTTGATTAAATAACATTGATGTGAAATAAAGAAAAGAATACGAAGGTGTAGCGTTAATTTTCCAAACATACATAAATAAAGTGCACGTGTGGATGAGGAGATAAGAAAGTCCCAAAATAGAAACAGGGATACGAATGAGATGAGTCGATCATCAAGAAGAAAAGTTATACAATTTACCAAATACCGTCGTTCATGCAAATTACGTCGGTGTCCCGTGAACTCGGCGTGATACGAAAACTTACTTCCGAAGACGATGGCGGTTAATTTCGGCGAGCGAACACGAAAGTTGGTAACGATATTCGCCTAGATAACGTCAAGCAGAAAACCTCGTTGTCGTAAATAATGGATGTCAATCGAAATAGAGATCCGCAGAATCGGCGAATCAAATATTTATTTATTTGTTTAGCTATCTGTTAACAAAAGCAATTATTTGTTGAAAACGCAAGTAGAATATATAAAAATATCTCGGATGCAACGTGAACGTGTAATACCAATTGTAATATAAAGAATAAAATAGTAAAAGGGAGAGAAATTTTCAGACTATTAAACTTTTGTCAGTTGAATTAAAGCGAAACAAGATCAGGGACGCGTTGTATTGTCTAAACGTCTCGAAGAGCGAGAGCGGTGCAGATACCGAACGGTCCGTTGTGTTGAAGGAGAGCACGAACAAAAGCGCGACGGCTGGTATTTTTTCTTTTTTTTTTTTCCCTATTAAATAACCGAGCCCACTGCCACATCAGTCTCCGGGGATAAGATTCATAACCGTAAAGCGGCTTAACATTTGTCCACGGTGAAGCGCGCTGGATTTCCATGGTGGGACGAAGGACTCCAAATACATTTCCGCCATTCTGTTCCAGCCGGTCTACTTCAATTTCAACGTTGCATATTGCATAGGTAGCTGAGCTACAATATCCGCGAAACATTGTTTAACGTAGTGTATGAACACATATCCAATTATACAGAATACTTTTGTTAAAAATTTAATTTTCCACAAATGTAATTATATTCTCGAGAATGCGCAAACATAATTTGTATCTCATCCGGTAAAGAGATCCCTTTCTCATTACTCATTTGGCGTTTTGCGGGAGAGCCGCTTTAACGTGAGAGACTTTTCAGTCACATAAATATAGGAAATGATTAAGAAAACTGAGAGTCCTGAAGGGAAAATGTCGAAAAATTTATTTAGACGAGATCGTGCCGCGGTTGAAATTTGCACGTTACAAAACTAACTAGAGCGACATAAGACGACTCCGATATTTGAAATTATGGAGTCTGCTCGACCAAGTACAGAGAAATTCAGAGAGAAAATAAAATATGGAAATTAAGGCGATGAGGGCAATTACGGAGCACCGAAGCTCTTTAATGATTATTAACGAGCGCGTGATGATCGTGGCGGGTTTCCCGGAAACGCTCCGGTGCGCAACCTGACACGCGGTTACGGATGGAACGCGATGTTTAAAGTTTTCTTAGACGGTTGACAGGAGACAGGACGCGAGTCCGAGGTCGCGTGCCATTCAACCCCCGAGGCGAGGAGAAAGGGGAGATGACGATGTCGTGTAAGAAGCGTGAAATTTATCCGTGCTTGCGGGACGAGTAGCAATTGCGGAGTCTTGTCGCCGCATAGGACACGCATAGGAAGCCGGCTACCGGCGGTTTAAAAGAAAGAAAGAAAGAAAGAAAGAGAAGTCGGGCGAGAAATGCGACGGAGACGAGGACGCGGAATGCAGGAAGAAAAATTCGGAACGGCAGAGCTGCGCGACGTGGCGCAACGCGACGTGAAGCGGAGCGGAGCGGAGCAGCGCGCAAAGCCGTAGGACGGAACGCGCGGGGATGGAGAGAAGGCGCGCGGCGGAAAAGGCAGAAGGCCTCGAGGAAGGAGGAGGCTGACTGATCGCCGCCGGAGTAGAGGAGAGAGAGCACGCCTGCGCGGAATCCCCGGGCGGGCGCGGGCAGTGCCACCGGAGGCCCGGCGGTTTCAGAGCTTCGCCCGGGACGACGAACCGCGGACGAGCCGAGTACGGGAAACCCGGTCGCGTTTCACAGTACGACCGACCGATCCACACCGAGTATACCGTGCGTCCGTACAACGAGGGGTACAGCCGCGGGGTAAAAGAAAAGGAGGTGGGGAGGGGTGGCCCGATTGAACGCAGGCAGACCGCTTCGTGACCTTGGTGCGCGCGACACTTTACGTCTTCTTCGGGAGTAATAAAGAGAAATTTTATCGGTTGCAAATCTCTTGCAATCAGGGTTTGGTACAAGAAGTTTGTACGGTGAAGTCCCCGCGCGCGAGACCGCCCCACAAATTAGACCCTCGTATCTCGGCTTCGTTCCGCGTCACTTGCAACAGCGAGATAATGTGATATATCGGAGTGTTTGAAAAGAAGAAAGAGAAGAGAAGTAACTCGGAAAACGAGAGTAAAGGAAAATCGGTGGATGCACAACAAGAGCGCAACGGGGGGGTTGCAACGAGAGGGTTGCAACGACGAGTAACGCGGGAGTATGCGCGGGTCCTGGTAGCACCGGCTGCTGTTGGAGGATGAACGGGACGACGACGGAGGATTATTAAGTGGAGGAGCGCCGAGAGAAAGAGGTGCATCGCGGTGTTCCATGAGATGTCAGTGGACCCGTTATCGGGGACAGTTACGCCGTCGTCGTCGTCGTCGCCGTTGTTGTTGTCGTCGTCGTGATCACCATGAGGAGGTCCTCCTACGTCAACTACTACGTCCTGTGCCTCGTCTGCTGGATCCTACTAGGCATTACCGGTAAGCCTCATTCACGGGGAGATCCCACGGCTTGTCGTACAGTTCAAAAAAAAATATATAAAAACATACATTTCCACCCTGTGACGCGCGGATCCATGAAACAGATGGCGGCGTCGAGATATCAGGTCGAGGCTCCGTGAGGAAGATGCTGTCAGGGGGGGGATGCTGTAAATAGCGATTACTCGATTCATGCGATACACGTAGATAGACGGGTGGTGATCGAATTATCGAACATCATCGTACAATTTGCGAGGAGGCGGGGCTCGCATGGAACTCGTGCCGCGGATGGATCGATCAGATTTTGGGGTGTAGCAGTACGTTGCATATCCTCTCCCTCGCGCCCCGCGTGCACTTACGAACGTACGTACCGCGCACTCGTGCGCGTTTCTCCCGCTGTCGCGAATACCGGCGGATACCTAGTGTGGAGATCATACAGGAGGGGGAGAATCGAGGATACGCGAGAATAGATAAGGACTACAAAGGACGGAGACGACCAAGGGGGGGACGCAACCTCCGGTCCCGGTCCAGGACCGTATCTAGCGCCACCCTTGTTTGTCGCGCCGCAGCATTGTGCCTCCCTCCACACTTGCTCTCTCTCTCTCTCTCTCTCTCTCTCTCTCTCTCTCTCTCTCTCTCTCTCTCTCTCTCTCTCTCTCCCCCCCCTTCCTTCTCCTTCTCTCTCTCTCTCTCTCTCTCTCTCTCTCTGTCCCCTTTTCTGCTTTTCCTTCTCCCCTTCACACTCTCGACATCCTCCTCTTTGTCCACCTCTCTTCCACCCTGCGTCTCTGCGGGATCAGCAGCGTGTCATCTCGATGATTCCGTCATCACGGGACGAAGACGAGGAGAGAGACGAACGCGTCCCCCCTTTCCTCCGTGGCGTCGTTCAGGAACGTGTCTATCGATTTCATCTCGCGAGGCTGCATCACCGCGATGCGGTCGTACTTTAAAATCCACTGAAACAGGAGCCTCACGGCGTCGTTCTGGAAAGTGCACTCATGCATTCTGCGAGTACACGTTATCTGCGAGAGATAGCTTAGCTACTATACTCGAGACATCTCGGCGGGGAGGAACTGGGTGATTTTTGCATCTCTTCTTTAAACATGAGTTTGATCCAATCTTTCGGAAGCGGAAAGCTTTCTCGAGTAGCTTGCAAGAAATACCAATTCTCCAGTAGAACTGTTCCTCTGTTGAATGTAACTTGCCTTTGATTGTAGAATTCAGTCTATTATGAATCATAAATCGAGATAAGGAGAGATAAGCTCTCCTTTCGAGTGAAGTGCGGAGATCTTTTACTCCGACGGAAAGAAACGAGAAGCCAACTGTAGGATTACCTTCTATAAAGCAATTTCCCGATTGAACAGACGACGCGAATATACAATTCCGCTAAGCGTATCAGCGTTTAACAGCGACGACTTGGCCAATTGTTCGCGAAGAAGTATCTAACGCGTTTCGGGTCGCTTAAGGAATAATCTCGCTCCGCGAGCCTATCTCTTTCGTGATCAATTCTGGGATCCAATGGAGCACGAGCGGAAAATCCGAAGCGCCGATCAAATCGGATTATCGCCGTCGAACTCGTCTGCGTTCGTAGCCGCGCGGAAAAAGCGTCAACTACGACTGCCGGTCGATGCAATTGGTTTGCACGGCCGTTCGTCGAATAATTACTCGAGCCTAAGGATCTCGGTGTGTAGTTTGATTCGCTTCTCCCGCTGGCAGTAAACCACTCGGAAAGTATGCTAACTGCTCTCGACTACGAGAGATACTACGAGGAGTTTGTAGTTTCAGAGCTGGTAATGGCGGGGGGGT